AGTCAATTTGCGTTCTGGTGTCGATTTCAGTTAATTTGACAAGCCCTAATGAGAGGTGCCTTTCTACCACCACTCATCGTTCATTTATCAGAAATAAGTTTGGATTAGAAAACAAAGAATTTCAGATGATTTGGAGCACTGATTATCTCTATACGAATCAATACTCTACAAAATGAAGGTTGTGCTAGATAGCACTGTACCGGCCTACGATTATAGGCGGGAAATGGAGAATAGTTTCACTAAAAACTTCAACGTTACACACTCTACAACCTCCCTTAATTCTGTTATTTACGAAAAATGATTCTCTTACATCCTTTGTCTATCTTATGTTTGCTTTCTTGTGTAACATTAGAGAAAATGGAGGACTGAACAATAAGTAAAGATTAATATTTTCATAATTGTCCCATGAATTTTGTACCATGTTTCAACATGCCCCCAAATTTTGAAAAGTGTTCATTTCACTCTTTACAAAACTAACAAAATGATAATGCAACATCGTTTAAATTTTTATAAATGCCCTCTAAACTATTAATTTTAAGTCAATTTGCCCCGTAAATGATTGCTTCTGTGTCAAGTTGCTCATTGATTTTTTACAAAAATTACATGGTAAGTTGACACAAAATTAATAGTTTAGGGGTATTTAAGAAATAACATTACTAAATATAATTAGTACCTCAAAGCATGAAATGAACCTTTTTCAAAACTTCTTGGACATGTTAAAACAGGTTACAAATTTTGTGGACATTGATGAAACGAATCCTAAAATAAATGCTAAATATAATTAAAGACTGCAACTTGACGAAATAAGACAAATTTAAGGTTACATTTACCTTATAAATTAAGTGCAACTATATATGATCAGAAGGTGTTAGCTTATACACACATTTCAAGTGCAACTATATATATAGTAATATCTCAATTATACACACATTTCAAACTTTTGCAGGCTTTAAAATACCGAAACATTGGAAAGTAATGGTGTGGATCCGCTATATATGTCCACACGAACCCAAACAATTTTGAGGATCCCATGTGCTTCAACCCAGATCTGGAACGTGAGCCTACTAGCTTATTATCTTATCTTTTGACAAATTAAAGAAACAAATAAATAACTCTATTTTCTTATTTAATAAATAGTCAAATCTGTCGATAATGAAGTAAATGGTTGGATTTATCTGTGAATATGAGATTTATAAATTATTGTATCTGTTCAGTAATCTCAATTTGTGTGTACCATTAATCAGCAATCAGTTGAGCCAGGGACATTCCAAGTATTTGGAGGAGGACCGAGAATATGTGCAGGGATCATGCTTGCTAAGATGCAACTCTCACTGTTTCTGCATCATTTGTCCACAGAATACAAGTGAGAATCAAACCTACTTTCACTGATTGATTAAGGATAGTAATATTTAACTTGCAAGATGTACGCGGGCGCGCTTTTTTCTTCTTCTTTTTTTCATTGCGCTGACGCGTGTTTAAATATATAGATTTGTACATTAGTAGGAGATATTTAAGGCAGGTCTTCACAAAATAAACGATTTTAACTGTTAGTTCTTGATCAAAAACTGTCTATTCAATATATATATATATATATATATATATATATATATTTCTCAATTTGAAGTGATTCTAACCCCATCAAACAGACAAACGCAAGCATGAGGTACGATTTATTAGTATTCATAGATTTCACTTATAATTTTGCTTAGCTTCTTGGTAGATGGGTTGTTTTTCTTTTTCGGCTAAATATGTTGAATCCGAAAATAATTGATTTTCAGGTGGGAATTGCTTAATCAAGATCCAAAGATTGTTTATCTTCCAGTACCAGGGCCAGCAGATGGTGTTGAGGTTGCATTTAGCAAAATTTAAAGTACTACAGAAATCTCTCATTCAAGACTTCAACGCTATTATTGGAGTTTTCCTTACTCCAAATTTGTATATATATATATATATATATATGTATACACACACATATATACACATATACATATATAACTATGTATATGCCAAATAAGAAAACTTGATGATGCCAGCGCTGATTGACAATTTCTCCGGCTTTTTACCAGTCCAGTTGCTGTAACTCATACAATTGTTGCACATCAAGGCGTACAAAGCTTATTTTTCTTTTTATACACTGTTTTGGATTTATTTAAGAAATATACTTTCAATTTCAAAATATACTTTCAGTCTTTTGTCTCAATAAATATATCCTCCACATTGCATTTTAATGAATTAACTCATACATTTTTTTATTAACACTCGATTTTGATTTTGAAAATGTCCAAAATAACCTTAAAAAAAGCTAAAAATAAAAATCTTTAAATCAAAAATAAAATCGAAACGAAACAAAAAATAATAGATTTCATTTTCTAGAATTTTTTTACCCTTTTTTTCTATTTGAGGATATTTTGGACATTTTTAGGTCAAAATCGAGTGTAGATCAAGGGGGGTGTGAATTTATCTACTGAATATTGTATGGTATATATATATATATATTGATGAGATAAAAGTATCAAGGTATACGTTTTTGAATAAATCTAAAACACAGAATGCAAAAAGATAAATAACATGAAATAAAATGAAATAAAATGATTATAAATAATGAACGACGCCAAAACTGATTAAACGACTGTACAAGGAATGAGCGGCAAGGTAAATGAAACCACTATATCAATGAAAAAAAGACGAAGAAAACAAGACTAAAACAAAACAGAAAACGACAATTTAAAAAAATGAACGACGATATTAGATGAGAAACCCATGACATAAAATGAAAATGCAATAAAACAAAACGACGATAAAAGTAGAAACTTGAATGAAATTGAAAACGAATCAAAGACAATTAGAGAAATGGAAAGAAAAATGATGATGAAAAGAAACCACAACAAAATGGAAAACGAAAATTAAGAAACGGACGGCAAAATATGAAAGAAAACGACAATATGGAATAAACGAAACAAATCAAAAAAAAAAAGACAGTAAACATAAAACGACAACAATATAGATAAACAATAACCAATGAAATAAACTACAATAATTGAGCAAAGAAGAACAAATAAACGACAAGTTAACTGATGTGTATTTAACTTGCCAATCAAAAAAAAAAAAAAAGCCTTCAGTTATATTTGTTAACTATTAAACTGCAATTATAATAAATTTAGAAAATTTGAGGTTCCTATCAATATTATTTTTCCTGAATTTACTTTTTCTATGAAAGTAAAGCTGAACTTTGTGACAAGCAAAAAGAAAAGCAGTATTTTTTTTTTTCTTGATAAGTAAGGAAAGATATATTGCAGAATATAACACCTCATAACAAGACAAGGGAGCGAGGTTCGAAACTTCTGAAGCAGAATTTACGCCATGGAGTTAGCTGCCAATCACAACGCGGCACCGACTTTTATTATTCTCTTTTATTTTTGGATAAGTTACTCCTTTTTTTTTCTTTTTTTTTTTTCGGATAACTCGTGTAGTTGCTAAGGATTTTAGTCAAAATCAGACCGCCCCTGGATTGTTCTAGAAGCAAAGGAATTGTATACACGGTCGTACTTATTTACTATAATGCCCTTTCCACTTTTATCATTATTAAATACAATCATTTGAGTTTTCAACGGAAAAAAGATTGTTTCACTCGTGTCTCTTAATATTTATTGTCATTATCAATTTACTTTATAAACTTTAAAAATTTTTGCTTTATCCCCTCAACTGTAAGGGCCTGTTCGGCAAATTTATTTTTGAGTAAAAAATTTAAAAAAAAATAACTCGAGTTATAACTTTATTCGAGTTTATATTTTTTTAAGTTTGAACTCGAGTTTTAGACTAAAACTCGAGTTCAAATTTTTCCTTTAACTCGAGTTCATAAAATCAAACTCAAGTTAATAAACAGTATTTTTTCTATTCTTAAAAATGCTATAACTTTTTCGTTTTAATTCTGATTGAGATGATTTTTTTTCTATGCGTTGACAACGAAAAGACTAATAAAACTAGACCCATATACCCTATTAAAATTTTTCATCAGCATTGAGTTTTTATTAAAATACTATCTAAATACAAATTTAAGTTTTGACTTACTCAAACACAAACTCAAAAAAATTCTTATCTCAAACCATAACTCAAATGTACATAACCAAACACAAACTCAAGTTACAACTTCAACTCAAGTTATCACTCAAACTCAACTCAAAATCTATACTCAAATTACATAACTCAAAAATGTCAAAAGAACATGCCCTAAATTATTTTCACTTAACTCATTTTGTTATAATTTTTATTAAAACAGATAAAAAAAGAGTAATCAATCACGTAGAGTCCGATTAGTATGATGGTTCAAATCATGATTGTTTGAAACTTAGAATTTAAACCATGAATGTTGGATTTCAACCATATGTGGTATGAATCAGGGGATCAAACCGGCCAAACTAAGAGTTTTTTTTAGGGTTCAGCTGAGCTAAAACATCAATACATTAGGGTTCAAATCAAGTTTAAACAAAACATGAGTTTTGTTAAGCTGAGTTCAAACTAGTTTTTTGTTTTTGCATATAAACACTAGTTTAAATCAGAACCTGGATTCAAACAAACAAATCATACCAAACAAACAAATTATACCAAATAAGAGCGTAGTCTTTCTGCTTAAATTTTTATTAAAAACTAGATAAAAACTAACATAATCACACTTAATTCTCTCTTTTTCATCTAATTTTAACACAAAAAAAAAAAAAAAAACTATACTCATGTGAGTCGTAACTCATAAATATTACCCGAATCTTAAGCCATAAGTTTTTTCCACAAAAAATTATTTTAAAAAAATGCGGCCATAAGTTTCAACATTCACGCTGTTCCAAACCCTTCTAGAAGATGAGAAGGACACGCCAAAAATCTTTTTCCCACTTTTCTTCCTTAAAGATACAAGGGTATTGTAGTCAACCAAAGGAAAAAAAAAAAAGGAAAATTGTTGGATATTTCGTGATATGCATCCGGTTCAATTACTATAAATACGCTTAGTCAGCTAATTTGCATCATAACTTTGCTCTCTCAGACCCCGTAGACCAATTCCAAATATCTGCAAATCATCTCTCTCCGTCGAGAAAATCTTCCAAATTTTCTCGAGAAAATTAATCTTGGATGAGTATTATGGCAACAAACGGCTCGTCGTATGAAACATCGTGGGCGGACCAGTGGGACAACAATCCCGACCCGGTTTACGACGCCAAGAAAAGCAGCACCGGCAACGGCGGAGCCGCCGTCAAGTACAAGCAGAAGGTCGGCGAAGGCTTCGTAAAGACGAAAGCGGTGGCTTCCACCGGCGTCAAGAAGGTCAAGGAAGGCACATCCATGGGGTTCCAATGGATCAAAGACAAATACCACAAGACCACGCAAAAGCACTAATATAAGTATAGATATTATATATATATATATATATACACACATGTGTGTTTGTGTGTGTATATATCTATACGAACATATATGTTTATGTGTGTATATGATCATCTCTTGTTCTTTGTTTTTTTTGTTTTTGTTTTTTTTTTATAGGAGGAGTTCTTGTTTGATCTTCTTTGTTATTGTACATGGCGATCGAAGCGATATGATCTTAGATGTCGTTGGATTATATCTTTCTGGTTTCTTTGAATTTATTTATTTTTTTTAGATTTAATTTGAATTTATTTGTTTTATTGTACGATGTATAATAATACTGGTAACGACCCTGATTTTCACGTTGTAATAACGTTAGTTTCCTTCTATTATTATATTTTCTATTTCTACATATTTGATGGACAATCATATTTATTCTTTTCTTGATCTTTTTTTTTTTGTGCGTGTTTCTGTATGTATTCCTTTCTTCTCTAAAAGGAAACGCGGTTTGTGCATTTAATTCGATAATATAATTATATGGCAACAGCTTTTATGAAAAAAGAAAATTACGTTCAGCGGGGATGATTAATTGATTATGTTACCGTTCCTGGCTGGATGTCTAGAGTTATATTTTTTATTTTTAGAATTTTTTTAAATTTTTTTACTTACTAAATATGTCCTTTAATTGAACATCATTTTTTTAGAATAATTTTAATTTTTTTCTTACGAAATGTGTCCTTTAATTGATCCAAAATTGATGACTATGAGCAAATTGACTACAATAAAATATACAAATAATAAATAGGAAAGACAAAGTTTAGCATTAACTGGCAACTATCACAACAGGTTAGGATAAGCGGCCCCGAGGGAACCTTCCATTAAAATAATAATAATAATAATAATAATAATCCTTAAGGTGGAAAAGACGTCGAAACAAACGACTAAAAAGGGCTAAACGATACAGCCAAGTGACAAGACACAGTGAGAACCACAATAGCTTTTTTTGGTATTATTTTTTCCTCTCAAAATCAAAATCAGTTTCTATTTATACCAAAAATTGATTTTAATATTTAATAAATCTTTTTAAAAATATTTTTTAATAATTTTTTTAAAAATTTACAGCTAAAATTAAAAGCAGTCTACAGACAACTTTAATTTTTAAATTGTCTGAGAATCAACATAATACAATTAATAAAACTTTCATAATACCCATAATATCTTTAGTAAAATTTATAATTTATAATTTTCTCAATTTAAAATTCAGACTCGTAATATAATAGAATATAAAAATAATATTGTAATAAATAATATCATAATTATATTAATAACTCTAATATTATTATTTTATCATATAATATGATATTATAATTATAATATAATTATGATATGATATTATAATTATAATATAAGTATAATATGATATTGTAATTATTATTTTATAATACATTATATATTATATTGTATTGATATAATTATGTTTATTATATTAATAATATGATAATAATATTATTACATTATATTATATTGATAAAATTATATTTATTATATTAATAATATAATAATATAATAATTAAATATTAATATAATCTTATAATTCTAATATTACTTTATGATCATATAATATATTCATTATAATATATTTGTTTAATATAATATAAAAACTGATTATATAATATAATATATTATAATATAATATAGTTGTAATTTTTAATTATATTATAATTGAAATATTAATATTTCTTATGTAATATTATAATATGTTTAATAATATTATTATTATATTAACTATTTTAATAATATTATTATATTCTATATCATAGTTATATAATATGTTATTTAA